GGCGAGCGCAGCCTCTGGAGCACACCACCCCTCACGCCGAAAGCTCAGCGTGGAGCAAGCTGGTGTCTTCTCCCCTCTGTCTTACATTTCACCCAACCGTGTCAACCGGCCTGGATTAAAAGCCGACACAGTGAAGCAGGCTGGGGTGCTTGCCAAGCGGGATTTTCTTCGGTCACCCTAGATTTGCTGTGGCAGCGATTCCCCTTTGAGTCAGGAGCCGAGCAGAGAACCACCTACCTCATGAAGATCACTATGTTATGTACCTTCACCTTGGGAAACGTGCAAAAGAAACTGGAAGAGACCAAAACACATAAGTAGGTCAGCACGGGCCAAGCAGGGCTGCAGAGACACTTGCGTTTCTCAGTATCTGACGATGTTTTCCCCTCTGGGGCTAACTCAACTCGAAACACGTTCCAAAAACCACGTCACAACATCCCGGCGAAGTGGCCTTTCAAGTCATTTCTAGCAAACAGTCACTTTCCAGGAAGTTAGCAGAAAACAAGTCATTTCCAGAGCAAATTCTAATTAAAGCAGCTTAAACCTGCCCTCTTCCCCAGCTGTATACAAAGAGTCGTAAATCCTTACTATACATAGGAGAAAGGTCCACCCAGCTCCGCCTTCACGGTGAAATTCACCTGTAAAAGAGAAAAGAAAGATACGTTCACGCGCAGCCCGAGTACTCGCTTAAATCCACCCCTTTCGGAGTCCTTCCTACGGGCTGTTGCCTTTCAGCTGGCGTGCATGAAGCACGGGCTACTCTAGCCGCGAGACTATCTTGCCAAGCAAAGCTTTAAGGTATAGACAGACCATCACGGGGTTAACTCGCAGTAGCGCACAGGTTTCGTGCTTGATTTGGTGACGCTGATCTCGCAAGCGCAACGGAAGACAAATACCAGTTTGTCACTCAGCGGCTGGATGCTGGAGACGTTGGTGATCTGCTGGGTTCCCACCACAGTGTTCATGTACTGCACCTGACTAGTCAGGCTGGTCACCGTCACCGAGTAGAAGTTGGAGTTCCTGATCCGTAAGGTGGCCTGGATGGAGAAAGAGTGAGTGTGTGGGGGGGGAGACGTGAGTAGCAGTGACCTTCCTGGCAGCTCAGCGCAGAATTTATTCCCTCAGGAACACAGACGCGCGGAAACTTTACCGTGATGGCAAGAACGACAACGGAGTTCTTCTTGTCGAACCAAACCCGAACCACTTTAATACCGTCGTCATCCACCAGGACGGAGTGTGGGAACAGGAAGAAAACCACCAGCCCCGATATCAGCAGGCAGAGCAGCACCGACAGCAGGACATACAGCTTCCTGGAAGAGGCAGGGAAAGGGGTCACCTCCCTTGCCCTAACCCAGCAGCTGCAAGAGACTTCGTCTCTGAAACCCAACCCAGCCAGCAAACGACACGTATTTGTTCTTCCCTGGAAGGGACACAGAAGCGCTGCTCCAACCTTTTCGATATCTGAAATTGCTCAAAACCGCCGCCCTTCAAACAGCTTATTTTTTGGTAATGAGTAACCAGAGAATCATTTTGGCCCCCATAGTGTTTTCACAATCTAGTATTTTTGCCGCTGGTAAAGGCAGTTGCTTTCTGAAAGCTTCAGTAAAGGGCGCGGGGACGAAGCGTGCGAGTAGGATCATTGTTTCCACGTTCACCCCACAGTGGGATTTCACAGGAAGTATTTAAAATTACACTTTAAATTGTAGCTGTTGGCATACTTGGACAAAAACAATCCACTAGATGAAGGAGAGGCTGCAGATGGGCTGAAGCATTTAGTTGCAGCAGTAAACGACAAAAGAGCCCTGTTTGCTCTTTGCAAAGATGCAACGACTCTCTTACTACACGCTTACGTTCTCTGTGGACGAAGCCGTTGGTCGCTGTAGGGTATCAGAGCCACCAACTCATTTACCTGCTCTGGAAAGCAAAAGGAAGACGTTAACCGATTCCACGCGCGCGCAAGGTCGCTCACGTAAATAAGCAACGTTTTCTTTTTGTGTTTAAGCCCGAGAGGAGCAGCCACCTGTGGGAATGCAGCCAGTGCCTTGGCAAGTGGGACAGGTGACGCTGTCCTGACCCGTGAACTCAACATACGGGAACTTGGCAATGTCTTCCACGCGGTCTCGGCTATCGAGCAAGTCGTCGTCGTCGTCCTCAGCCTTCTTCCTCTGCCCGGAGGCAGCGGTATTAACGGAGAGGGAAAGCACAGAACCCATGGCAGCTGCTGTAGGAAAAGCCGCCTAACCTACGACAGAGGCAGCGAGAGGAGTCCTGGTCATTAAACGGGTTTTCAACCTGCTTCTGGCCAACGAGGAAACCCTACCCGGAGCTACAGGCATGCAGGGAACAACCTCCCCCCCCCCGGGGGGCCCCGGCCCGCACCCCCTAGCGGAAAAC